AGTTGATGCTTCGGTTCTTCGGTTTTTTTGCTTTTGCATTTTTCCAATCATCACTTTTTTGCATTTGCGTGCTTGCGCGTGAAAGGAAAGCCTGTAAGTGTCATTTCCAAGAACTTTCCAAGCAATAATTCTGCGACGGTTATGGTAAAACTCAATGAAGCATCTGAATCAGACGCGGATCACACCAAATGCATCTAATGAGGCGTCCAGGAAAGTGAAGTTGTCATTTTCTTTGCAAGGAACACCTACTCCATTTCCCTTGAAGGCAGATTGCCGGCGTTGAGGAATGTCCAGGATGCTCGTCGACGTAGCCAGTGCCCACCCAGGCATACGCCATGCATCGACGAGATCAGGGGTGATGCCAGATTGCCCATGGGCAGGAACTGCGGTGGAAGTGTAACTATCAACCAAACGTGCCGCTTGCTATCATCTCGAAGCTGTCTCAAGTGGGAAGCGTGCATGCCGTACTGACTATGGGCTAACCCATGGCCAATTTTTGAAACTGCGGCTATAAGGGTAATTATAGGCGCTGATTACGAATCTGACGTCCATTTTTGATGGAGGCGCGATATTGCGCCATTTTAGCCTCCTCGGGCACCAACTCGGCGCCGCTTTAGCGCCATACAATTTTCGCCCCAATTCTGGGCAGAAAGCTAATCAGAAAGGTTGATGATGACCCTGATTGTAAGAACAGTACCTATTTTATCGGCGGTAACATTTGGAGTCATTTAACATGCGCTAACATGAAATGCAAAATTTTGTCATCAGCCGGGACCGATCCCTCGACCGATTTTTCATACCTTTTTTGGCATTAGGAGGGCCGCTCAGAAAAAATGGAGCCTAGTTTTGTACTCCATGCATGTGCCCCTTTATCATGCAAAAAACCGTTTTCAAAAAGGGCTCCATGTCCTGAAAGACCTTCCTGGTTAGTGGAAGTGGGATGCTAATAATGCAACAGTGGCAAAAAAGCAAAGAAATCCGTCAAGAACGCGCAAAATGGGACCCCTTTCTTTGCCCGTTGACCTCCGATAATGGACGAGCTAGCAACCAATTAGAGGTCGTTTGCACATGTTAACCGATAGCCACTATCATTCCAGCAAAGATCATGCTTTGATTGATGACGCATTCCATGGGAAAGTTATAGGATACACACTCGAAGTGGAATACATCATCCAAATGATAGGAGCAATGATGTTGCTAGCTACACTAATAGGCGGAAACAGGCGGCAGAGGCGGAGCTGAAGGAAGTGAGAGAGAAGCCCCAGGGCGCTGAACTAGCGCACCTTTGACCACGAAAAGGCCACATCTCGTTTCCTTAGGCCCCTGACTACTGCTTCCACTGGTGCATGTACTTCCATGCTTGCACACGCACTCTATCGTAATCTCCCACTGTAAAAAGATCATGTACTTTCCAAATGATCTTCTGTAGTTGCTGAAACCTCTACAGAGCCTAATCGTAAGCGTGGGATTTGTCAATGAGTGGACTGACTATTAAAAACCTAATTTTTTCTTAAATGTTGACGAGTTTTCCGTCCATATTAATGTTTCTTTTTTGCCACTGTTTTCCCTGCACTTTTCCATATTGTTTCGATGACGCTCAGGCCATGTGTTTGAATTGATCCCCCAATTGAAAAGCACCCAACGCTGTCGAGTAGTAGTCGAGTCGAGTCTTCACAGTAGAGGTGCGATGCTCTTGGTCGTTCTATTGCTAAAAGATGAAGGCAGTACCGAGTAGGTGCCGTACGCGTAGACAGTACGCCTGCTCTCGCCAGTTCGCGAACCTGTAACTTTGTTCGACTGTGAAGTGGTAGGGATTGTAATGGGTTTACGCACACCTGGACTATAGAATTGTAGCAGGACTTTAACGTCATCTGTAGTGCCGAAATTCAATTTGGGATGTCATTTGGATGTTTGTTGACAGCAATAGCAATAGTAAGGATGTTTGTTGACAACAATAGGCATGTGTGGGGTATTCAAGAAGAACGCTTCGATTCAAGGTATAAGATGTAGAAATCGAGGAATTTGTCTCACGATCACTAGGCAATGACTTTATTATCTGGTTTCATACTTATGCCTTGCTGTGATTTCATCGACTCGTAGGGTTATCGACGAAGTATTAGGTTGGTGCAAAAGTCTTGAGACACTCGGATGCGTGTTTCGAAATTTTTTACAATTCTAACTCAATAAACTATATAATCACCATCATTATCTATAACTGTTATGTCGGTAGCCGTACAGAAGATGCAGCTTTATTCGGAGTTCATAAACTAAACCATACTGAAGTCAGAGGCTTATATAGGGGAGATGTTTTCGAGAGAACTCGAAAAC